ATGTGTATTGTGTTTACTACCAATCTAAACTATGTTGCTTATAGAAAACTGCGTAATTTAGACTGATTCTGCCTCAGGCTTTTTGAATGTCTGTACCTAGCCTAGAAAGTATGTTACTAAGCCCCCTATTGCTGTTTTTTGTGCCTGCCTTAGCCTGGAATTCTTGATATATTTCAGTGGTAATCTGGCAGTGTCATCTGTCCTGCTGTGGACAAACACTGGCTTTTTCTTCTACTCCAATGAGGAACCTTTTCAGCCTCAGGTTGAAGTCTCTGTTTCAGCTCCTGGCAGGCAGTGCACCCTTTGTTCTGTTGATCTGCTCTGGTGACAGGCCTATCAGTTTTGTTTTTTAAGGAGTCTTTCATCCCATACAGCTGCCTTTTCCTGGAATTTCATTCTCTTTGCACTTAGTGTTACAGTAGAAGAATAATGATCTCATTTAAGCCACAATGCAAAATAATTTAGAGACAGGAATTAAATTGTATCATTGAAGTAGTGGTGCATTTTTTGCTTTTTTATTGAAGTGAAAGTTCTCTCTGTAATTTACACTAGTGCTTTTATTCAGAAATGATTTAATTAAAAAACCCAACAATAATAAAATATGATTTCAAAATGAAGTATTTCCTATGATATATAAAGCAACAGCCAAAGGAATATTACTCAACAAGCAACTGTGAGTGTCATTAAATAGATATATGTTTAAGAAATTTGCTTCCTTCTTTAGTTCACTTCTACTTTTACAACCTTTCTACATTTGCACTCTATACTGGCATTTCTTTGCATCTCCCTGCTTTGCTTCTTTTCTGAGTCATACAAGGAAAATGAAAAATCTGTAATATCTGAATTGAACTAGCAATGTTTATGTGGATTTGATATACAAAATGTTCTTCTTTCAGCAATTCTCACATGAATATCTATAAACCCCACAACTCAGCTTGGATTGTCTATAGCTGAATATTTTTCCAGTTTCCAAAAAGGGGAGGAATTCTTCATCTAGCTTTCAGTCTTCTATTACCCTGCCATGTCTAGTGCTTCTATTACCCTGCCATTTAATATTGGTTATTGCTGCAGCCTAGGTTAGAATACGGTCCTGCCAACCAATAGCATCTTTGTAATCTTTGTAAACAGAATTCTTGACTAGTCCTTAGAAGATCTAGCTGGATCCTCCCACTTCAAGATATACATACATTATTCAGAAAGCTCCCATGGTGCTCAAACAAATGAAAATTAGGGATTTTTAAACCTTAGTAAGCCTGATTCTTTAATGCATTTTATGCTGCCCGATTACTTTCATGTATGCTAAGGATAGTTGTGAGTGAATATAAAATGCTTCCATCCTGATTTGTATAGATAGAATTGCACCCACAATTTGGGAAATGGTACAAAATAAAACCCATTGACCTTTTAGCATTCCAGTTCTTTAGCTTGAAACATAAAGATAAAAAAAAATGTACAAAATGATTTTTACAATATTAAAAGAGTGATTTAAAGTTGATATAGTTAATGAATTCTCTACCAGTAAAATTTTAGGTTTTTCAAACTAGATGATATTTGTCAAATTATTTTCTTGACTTTATTTGTTGGAGTCTATGTGGGAAATTGAATCACGAACGATGCTTGAATCTTTGATATCTTCAGAATCTTTCTGATAGAGTTAGAAAGAGTAGGGGTGGTGCTTTTTTCTAAACTTACATGAAGAGTTCAAGTTTTTAGTAAACATAGGCTCTTAAAAAAAATGAATTAAGCCCCTCAACCCATAGAAGGCAATATCACTTATAAGTAAAGTTTAGGATTACCCCCTCTTAGAACTGAGTGAAGATGATGAGAATCAATTTACAAAGTTTTGCACCAAATTGTTTATGCCCTTTTATGTCTTAGAAATGTTGTTTTCAGGATATTGCTGTAAAATTAAAATTTTTATATGTTTTTAAATTGGCCAGATCATGAGAGGTTCTAAGCACAAGTAATTCTTATTAAAACAAGTAATCAGCTGGAGTAAATCAGCAGAGCTCTAATTTAATGAAGTTTACCCTAAATGAGGATTTGGCCCATTGAGTTCTTTGAGAATAAGATGTGGTCAGTATCTTTTATCATCTGTCCAAAGTAAATTTATTTTTATCAGAAGGAACTATCAAAATGCCCATTGCTTTCATGTTTGTCATATTTTAATTCACACAGTTATATTCAAGTAAATGCACATAGTAAATTGCTTTGCTATTGTGAAAATAGATCACTTTAAAATAGTAATTTTTAATTTGGCTGTATTTTTTTAAAGTTTTTGGACTTTTGCACAGCTATATCAAAAATTATTTACAAAACCTTGCAGAAGGAATATTGAATATCTGTTGAGTATTGTGGATACTTAGGCCCCTGGCAGATGTTACACTTAAGACACTATTAACCAGTTAACCATGTATTAAGTAGTAACCTGGCCACACATTTATGAAATTAGTGGTGCAGTAAAACAGGGAATAAGCCGTATTTTTTTGTAAAAACTTTGTGTCTGGTTCCAATCTCACTGTAAATTGAACATGTGGTTAGCGCCTCCTACCATGCATACTTGGCATGGTAGGAGGTACGATTGTTGGGATTGTAGACCAGATCCCATCATGCCTTTAACTGAACATCTGTTAGTGACCATAGTATGGAGTTTTCAGTGCACTCAACATCAACCTCCTATTGCTACCACTAAAGTAAGTTGTCTTTGAATTCCAGATGAGCAGTTAGATTATTGCTGGGTCTTTGTGATAACCCCATTATTCTTAATATTTTGTTATTGTATTATAGTACTGTCTAGAGACTGTCTGCTGAGGTTTAAAATCCTCTTATGATAGGCACCATATGCAGACAGTGACATATGATAAATGTGGTCTGCCTGTAATAACGATGCCAGAATTTAAGTACTTGAAGAAAGGGTATTTTAGGTCCAGCACTATTACATTGCTTAACTGCAGTAACTTCAGTGAAAATATTTATATTTTACACTGGCAGTATTGGAGCAGAAGAGTTGGCCCCAGCTTGATAAGAATGATTTTTATATATATAACTGTTTCTAGTGACCTGTCTATGCTATTGCATGCTTCATCCTACAGTGTTTCATTATTGTTCTGTATATTATAATTTTATAGGTGAGTTTTTTTAATAAGTCAAAGATTTCATGAAAGAGGATAAAACTGCCACAGAAGCCCCCAAAATTGAGGTTGATATGTGACTTAAACCCCATATTTACAGCTAATCATGGAAGAGATAGGAAATGTGTGAGTGGGAGTACAGAAAGGAGAATCCAAAAGAAAAGGGAAGGGAATTGCAGAGATTTGAAAAAAGGAGGGCATTTCTCAAGTGAGAGGCTGACATTCTCAGGGGAATGAAATAAAAGCAAGAACAGGCTCTTTCATTGTTCACAAAACTTGTATTGTACAGGATGAGGTTGATGTTTTAAAAAGCAAAACTTAGATCTTAACTGCAGCAGTTCAATGTACTTCTTGATCCTTATTCCTTTTCAGTCAATGGGGGTTATTTTGCTGGTATCTACCTCAGCAGGATCAGTCCTGAACACAGAGTTCAGAGTAGGTTAGGAGATTTCAAAGCAGGTTAATATGTGTGTGCATAGTGTTTATTTGTATTTTCTCATCTATTCTTTTTCCCATGTAGAATTATTTGAAACAAAATAAACCTACTGATCTACATAACCTTGTTTAAGACTCTGAAATGGAGATAATATGTTAAGTCTTTGTCTGAACAAAATAGCCAAACATGCATTTATTAACAGAGAAGGAAACGGCCAATAAATATTAACTTAGCATTTCAACATGGACATAACTAGCGTGTTTTCTTCAGATCAATTATAAGGATGGGTTTCTAACGCTTTTCCCAATAAAAGTAATTGAAAATATGAATCAATGTGTTTTTTCAGTTAATTTTTTTAAAATTCTTTTTTTCCTGTTGATTAGCAATGCAGTGTTTTTTTAATTTGATTTTGACAATGAATTTCCCAAAATTTATCTTATATAATGTTATTAAAATAATATAACTGTAAAGAATTAATAACCAACGTTCAATATGGAGTAACTAGGCTGGCTCTGGCTGGAGTCAGTTAGTTTCATAGTCAAAACAAATGCCACATTTTCACATTCTGTTTCAGCCTCAGCTGCTGTACAGTGTTTATTTCCTTCCTGATCCCATTGTTTCTGTCCATCTGTCTGTTGTGGTTTTATATTCAGAAACATTTATGAAATGAAGACATGAAAGATGATCACATATTGCAAGTACATGTCTCTGGTTATTTTCGAAATAATTGATATTTTCAATTATTTAGACCTGATCTTAGAAACATTTACACAGGCAGAAATGGGATGGAGTGGGATCGGGGCCTGTATCATTAATATTTCATTGTTTAAACTTGCCACCTCTGCATTAAAAACCAAATCATTTCTCTCATTGTATGTGTTCTGATTAAGAAATGCTCATTGGATTTTGAGATTACATGGAAAAATAACACCAAAGAAAGCAGCATCATAGTTGGACCTGAATGCAATTGCAATGACATTTGTTACGTATATTTTACTGTAACCATTTCAAAAATAAAGTAGGAAAACCTTTCAAAAAAGGATTTTTCTTTTACCAAATGGTAGACTGTAATCAGCTTTAAGCTATTTAGTGACCAATTCTCATTTTCATAGTGGAAATGGTGAAAAATAGTTGATGACATTTTTGTAAAGAGACCCTTCTATATAATTACAAATCTGTTAAAACCAGTGGTATACGATGCTACATAAAAATCAGTGGTGATAATCCAGGCAGCCTATTTGTCTGAGAAAATAAAGATGAGAAATGATTTATTTAGCACGCTGTTTTCTGGGGCTGAAATCCAGCAATCACTTTAACACAGCTTGTCATAACAAACCAAGAGCTACACTGTTTCTTTTAGTTTTATTTGAACATCTTGCTGCCCTTGCATCTTCACTAACAACATTATGTCTCTCCCGTAATGCCACTGGCAGGGGCTAAGCAGCACTGAGACTACTTTACTGATTCCTGATCATCAAGTGGTAAGCAGCAAGTGATATTCATGCTTTTTTGCATGGATCTGTGTGATGTCTTCTATTGCTTTATGCAAAAAATATGTCCCCCAAAATTTTCCAGTTTTTCAAGCAAGCCATTCTTTTTCTGCAGTTAACTATGTTTTCTGTAACATGTGAAAACTGTGTAGTGTTCTCACAGGAAATTGGGGTACATCTCTTGTTTGTATTTGGCTGTAATCTATAAACCAAGCATACAAAAAGTTCATACAATTCAATATAGATAACAGTACATGTTTAATATTTGCAAAGAAAACTGGAAAGTTTAATTTTTTTATAAAGTTATTTGATTTGATGGAAGAATGGGTGTAGTGTATGCTCCAGTTCTGGTCTGGTGACATTAACACGCATTGGTTTGTTTCTACTACTATAATGATCTGTAGAGCTCTGTCAAAGTCAAACATGATGCTTTAAAGCAGGGTTGGGCAAAATGCAACCCACAGACCAGATGAGGCCTGCCAGGCCATTCTATCTGGCCTGCAGGGACCCTAAAAAATTGAGAAAATTAATATTTATCTGCCCCTGGCTGCCTATCAGGCCCTTAATGGCTTGTGAAAACTCAGTAAGCGGCCCTTGCCTGAAATAATTGCCCACCCCTGCTTTAAAGCATAGTGTAAAGGTTTAGAAAATAAACATTGATGTGATTTGAAATTTTTCATGTAATTGTATTTAATTATATGCACAGGCTGAAAATGCCACCTCGTTGAGACGGGAAAGTTCTCGAACATTTTTTCAATTCATCACCAAGTAAAACTGACAATACACCGTTTCTTCATAAAACAAATAAAATAAAATAAACGTGTTGTAATATAAAGGGATAACTACTGCTGAGATGCACTGTAATCATATGCTTGCTTATACTGGGCTCTTGTGTCTTTTATATTAACACATTGTCCATGTAATGCATTTTTTACTTGTTATTTCAATGTCCCTACACATAGCTAGTATTTCTATGGAATTAAACATTAAAGCAGAAGTCTTAAAATCTTTTTAAAATGTGTCTTAAAATATACTGTCACCTCCTCCAGCTTTCTAACTCGTTTGAAAATATAAGAGAATTGTGGTAGAAGTACAGAAAAGGCTTATAAAATTGTAACTCTAAAAAGCAAAACCTTTTTTACATGGAGGACAAAGTTGCACTTTTGTATATATCTGTGCTACCTTCATGAAACATACTTTCAAAATTAGACATGTAGCATTAACAAAGTTGTATATTACACTTTCTTGGCAAAGTAATAACCACCAGTTAAATTATATTGATTTCTTAAAGCAAGAATATGCTATAGATTTGTATACTAGATGAATCTCTGGTGTGATGACTCCACTGAAGTTATTTCAGACATACCAACAATGAATTTGGCTCCTGATTTTTAGTGGAATGCTTCCATATTTGCATATGTCATGTAATTGCAGATACAGAAGCTTCTTGCTCTTGGGAATAACTTTCATTTGACAGTATTTTTAGCATGGCAAAACTTTAATCAGTATCTCTCTGTTAAAGAAAATTCTCTTCAGCAGAAGCAGCTGATTTTTCCTGGATAAACATCACAAAGAATGATTAAAAAGCAAACATAGTTTGCACTATAAGGGTTTTAGGTTTAAGCCACTGGATGTTTTTACCCTTCCAAGCTGTCGCTAATTCCTATATGGAATGAGTCTTTTCTGTCTTAAATTTGCATGTATTTCAGTATTCTCAAGGAATGGTTTGCTAATTTGTATGAATTAATGACTAGGTATTTTATAGTATAGTCTTTTAAGATTGCTATGATATTTTCACAGAAAGAAACTAACACATTAGATCTTGTAATTACAGTGTGTCAGAGCAGGCTCGATTAAGTGAGTCTGCTGGAGCGTAGTAATTACTGCACTCGAGCAGACTCCAGTGTCATGTGTATCAGTGTCTCTGTGCTGAAAAATGGCAGCTGTGGTGCTTTAACTAAACCTCGTTTGACAAGCTTTAGTTAAAGTGCCTGCACCACCATTTTTTAGCACAGGGATGCTGATACACAAATGTTTCAGGTGATTTAATTAGAGCAGCTCTAATTAAAGTGCCTTCCCCCTGACTTCCAAAGCACATGTATGAATGCCTCTAGAGTTTAAAGTTCTCCTAGGATTGTCTATAGTCAGAATTATATCATTAGGGGATGCTATAACAACTCCGTCTGATAAATTGTATTGAATGTTTTGTTCATTTGTTTGTTTTAACTTATTTTTCCTACTATAACATAGACAAAAACGTGGAGTAGATGACTGATTTATTTGAGGTCAGAACTCTTTGCATTTTAGTAGGCAGTTCATGTTTAGTAAATATTTATGACAGTCTGTCACTGTGTGAATCCAAGTAAAAGCCAAAGTAATTTATTTTGAAGCACCTTCTGTGGTGATTATTTTGTGGTTGATACTATATCCATCAGTTAACTTCCCCTCTCATAATTAGTGGTGCCTGACTTGTTTGAGTTGGTTATTGGGTCCACTCTGGGGACTAAGGTGGTCAGAACTAGTATACATCCTCTTTGGCTGTGCAGCAAGGTTTATATGTGTGCATTTTAGATTGCAATTAGCGGGGAGAAATCACCAGTCACCTTTACCCAAATCCACTGGGGCAAAAGCAAATGTGAAATAGGCTTGCAGTTGTCTTTGGTTTTAGGGGCAGACAGTATTTAATCCCAGTACCACAGTTCATCTTTTTTTTTTATAACCGGTTGCTTCTGGGTAAGGAGGCCCTAACTTGGGACTTCAGCTCATGCCTGATATGAGCGCGGCAATACAGTTAAAAGTATCGT